TCTGGAGCAAGTATCAGCCAGAGACCTAGACTAGAGCAGCTGATCATATGTTGTCCCAGGCCTACAGAGCAGTTCCTGACTCTGGTCACTGACTTACCTCCTGGGATGGCTTGGAACTAGCCGCTTGCCAGTGAGAGGCAAGAAATCTCATTGTTGATTGTCCTGGCTCCTTCCCCACTCTGGCATGATAAATGCAGAAGTGGGGGCCAGCAAGTGTACCCCAAAGCCTTATCTACCAGGCTTTGGTATAAAACTTCCCCCAAAATCTTAAAAACCTAGATCTTGGGAATAAAACTTCCCAAATATTAATAACGAGATTAGGGAAAAGATCATTTGGGAAATCTCACCCCTATTATGAAAATCAGGCACACAAGTAACCAATGCCAGGTTAATAAAAAGAAAAGAGAAAACTTTTATTATTACAACAATATTCCTGTTGCAAGCATAAGGATCAGATGGAAAGGTAACAAAATATACTCATGGAGGAATTACACCATGGGCTAGAACTTAGTTAAAAAGAAAAGCCAAACGTAGCTGCCACCACCCAAATATTAATAATGAGATTAGGGGAAAGATAATTTGGGAAATCTCACCCCTATTATAAAAATCAGGATACCCTAGTAACCAATGCCAGGTTAATAAAAAGAAAAGAGAAAACTTTTATTATTACAACAATATTCCTGTTGCAAGCATAAGGATCAGATGGAAAGGTAACAAAATATACTCATGGAGGAATTACACGATGGACTAGAACTTAGTTAAAAAGAAAAGCCAAACGTATCTTAAGCAGTGCTAGATATCAGGTCCTATACCCAACCCTTAAAACAATAAAGCCTAACGAAACTACCTAAACTTTACCCTACTTACAGAAAGTGAAGAATTGTTCCTTGGAGAGAGAGAGACATGCTTGTCCCTCTCTGAAGCTGCAGAGGACTCACCCAGAGAGACAAAAGGAGAAAGGAAAAAAGCCAAATTCCTTTGTTCCAGTTTGAAAGTCCCACCTACATTCCTACTAGTCACTCCACCTGGCTAGGTGTAGTTAACTCCTTAATCCCAGGCTGCTGGCTAACCCTCATAATCATGACACTGATCTCTGGAGGTAGCCAGCCTTGCCCTGGGAAGTGCACAAAGCCTGAGGCTCTCCGTTGAGGTTTGTGGGGGTTCAGGCTAGTCAGCCCAGCAGCTGCTGCTGCACCATTTAAGCAGCACCCATATGTGACAGAGCAGTAGGAGCAGACATTGAACCAAACGGCTCAGTCTGGTGACGGGATAATGGCTCTTCTAGGCTGCAGCAGTAGTCCCACAGGACGGCAGCTAAATTCACTGTAAGCTGTATGGCTGCGCGACTTTGCAGCTGTTTTCTGAACACCACTCAGGAGTTCAAAGCTCCCTCTCAGGCAGGAAGCTCAGCTGACAGGTGGGGGGGCAGGGCATCATCTCCCTAAGCAAGCATCTAAATAGAGCTGCTGCATGTTTGAAACTCAGCAGTTCCCAGAGCAGGTAAAAAGTGAGATAAGGAGGGAATAAATTGGCCAAGGGAATGCCAGAAGGGAAGGGAGTTTAAAGAGTCCTATCTGTGCAAGGAGAGGGAGGCAGAAACTCAGCACTCTTGAACCTCCTGGGAAGGGGAAAATAAGGGGCTGATTGCATGGGGTAGGTTGGGGGAAAAGGGACTGGGTAGGTGCTGGCATTGGGGTGAGGTGGAGCTTGTGCTGTGGGGTGGGAGAGGAGTGAATAATTTGTTTGTGCTTTAGCTGGGAATTAGGATAGGACAGGCTGTTGGTTGCCTGCTAGCTTGAGAGGCAGGATTTTATCCAGGCCTCCACCTGGACTGGGAAAGCAGATTACACAGGGCTAGATGTGGGTGGAGGTGCTGACATCTGTGCAGTGAGCTGGAGGTAGGGGGCAGCTTGTTTGGGGTGTCTGACTCACTTGCTAACCTCTGTCTGGCTAGGTTAGAGGGGGAGTAAGCTGCATGGGGGGGTGTACTAAGAGGACATTTATATTATTACATTTCAAAAAAAGTTTACATAGGTGTTAATGGCTTAAGGTAAAAAAGAAAAAAATCTTTTAACAGAATTTTTAGGAATGTTGCAGATATCTAAAACACTGATCTGATTTTTTTTAATCCTGAATTACCAATTAATACATGGTAAATTGTGTTGCATTAAGGCTAGATCTTTGCTATGTGATAGAGTTCTGGCTCTTATCACTTAAAAGTAGCAAGTACTAGATGTCCGTATTCCCTCTAAGCTGTGCAGCAACATAGCTTCACAGGGGATTAATCAGCCCCACCCAGTCAGAGGCTCGGGGCTCATTGCTTGGAGCTGACTAGCTGGGCAGGACTGATTAATCACCTGTGAAGCTGCACTGCCAAGCAGCTTAGAGGGGACACTGCCAGGTGTGGTACTAATTGTTTTGTAGGATAAAACCTTATTTGCAAACTCTTTGAAACATGCATCTGTCTACAAATCCTGCAGCCATGTCTTAATTTGCTCTGGAGCTTCTACTCTGAGTTTTGGGGGTGTGGGTGTGTGCGCGCGCGCACATCCATTCATGTGATTCATTTGTGTTGGTGGCACACATCCACATACTACCTCAGTATTGGTGTTGCACATAAGAAATTTCAACCCACCCAAAAGAAAATTGAATCCACCCAAGGACAGAAAATGTTAGAGGGAACACTGGTCAGCAGTCCCATACCCAAAAGATTTTAAGCTGTTGACCAGACCCCAGCTGTTAAGTGAAAAGAACTAGGATTCTCAGCCTAGTTGCTTCCCAGGGGAAGGTCCATGTAACTCAGCACTGAGTGACACCCTGACTAGCGTCAAGAAGAGCTGGGGTGGGCTGGAGGCAGCTCTCCTCCCTCACACCAGACATGGTCCCTGCAGATAAGGTATGAGGCACATTGGTGGGATGGTGCAAGAGGCTTGTGCAGTGCCTGCCTATGCTGGATGTTGGTGCAGTAAATCGGTCATGAGAGGTCAGAACATCCCACAAATATGCCCCACTCCAGGAGATGAAAAAGAGCTTCAGGCTCAAACCCAGGAGGTACTGGCAGGACGCACTAGAGATGAGAAATTCCAGTTAATCGTTAGGTGAACCTAACATTAATGAGATAGCCAAATAAGCAGGATCCGGGTGGGGAACCCCTCCAGCCTAGCTGGAGCAGCCCCCAAGGGCTGCTGGCTCCCTTCCCGATGTAGGACCTGGGACTGCTCCCAGGCCAAACTGGAACATCTCCTGCCTCTGGGCTCACCACAGACAGGGACTGTTCTGGATGAGAGCAGCCCCTGCCTGTGGCTGGCAAGGAGCTGCTCCTGCCCCCACTGGTTACCTGTAATGGTAAGCCTCACCCTTTAAGGTGAATCCTTTGCATCCCTACTGGAAGCCCCCTTTTGCAGCCATGGCAACAGTCCTGGTCACCAGCAACTGGAGAGCCAGAAGTTGTTTGTGGTATCTAACCAGAAGCAAAGCTTGTTAGATGAGCCCCTAGCAGTTCTCCCATGGCAGAGAGGAGCATTGAACCCAGATCGCCTGCATCTTAGACCAGCACCTTAATCACCTTCCCTGCCAGGTATCTAATGGGTGGTAAACAGTTCCATGCAACTCAGTTGATCTTTCATTGAACTATCTTTCAACTAAATCATGAGAATGAGCCAAACCCTTGAATGGTGTAACTGGCCCTGGATCCTCACTGATGTCAGTGGAATAATGATAGAAATGTAGCCGTGTTAATCTGGTGTAGCTGAAACAAAAGACAGGACAATGTAGCACTTTAAAGACTAACAAGATGGTTTATTAGATGATGAGCTTTCGTGGGCCAGACCCACTTCCTCAGATCAAATAGTGGAAGAAAATAGTCACAGCCATAAATCTGTTCTGAAATGTGATTTGTCCTTTTCATATGTGTTCATTTTTTTAAATTGTATCCTTTGGTATATATGGTTGTGACTATTTTCTTCCACTATTTGATCTGAGGAAGTGGGTCTGGCCCACGAAAGCTCATCACCTAATAAACCATCTTGTTAGTCTTTAAAGTGCTACATTGTCCTGCATTTTTATGTCAGTGGAGTTACTGTGAATTTACTTCAACAGCAGAGAGCAGAATCTGGCCCCTGACTGTGCATTTGATCCATTCATAGTAACACGGATACACTGCAGCTTCTGCATAGCTTGGCAGGGACCAGCCTCTGCTAAGGTGGCAAACAACCTGTGTCAGGAAAAGCAAAGGGCTCACTGCTCTCCCACATTACCCTGGTGCCACCAGCCTGCTGGCAGCTCAGTGCTCCCAGGGAGCCAGCAATTGCAGCGCAAGTCTCTGGGCTGGCTGACGCCCAGCACATCAAAGTGTGGGACCACTTGCCCTACCTGTGGCGTCTTGGTCCTCCCCCACTCAGGGAGCTGGTGAAAGGCAGCGCTGCTGGGGTAAGCGAGCAGGGTTGTTCTTAGCCCAGAGAGGGAGTAGGGACTGCCAGGGACCATTCGCAGGCAGGTCCTAGGGCAGATTTCTGTGTACCGTCCTGGGCATAAATAGGGGAGACAGAGAACCAGCTCTCCAGGGCCAAGACCCTTCCACACACAGTCAGAGGGAGGGAAAGGGACGAAGCCCAGGCTCTCTCCCCGCGACCTTCTCTTAGGAGAACAGGAAAAGCAGCTGCAGGGAGGAGGGTGCAGAGCTGGAAGGGGGAAAGGAAAGGTAACTGCAGAGTAACTGGAGGAAGCGCCCTGGGCACGGGGCAGAAGGCGGAGATACAGCAGCCCAGGGCGCGGGACCACGGAAGCTGTGGGGAGGCCAGACCACAGGGCCCGATCCTGAGGGTCTCGCTCAGTCTTGACCCAGGCAATCCCCCCTCGCTGCAGCTGCTCGGCACCCAGCCCCTCCAGGGAGCGAGCCGGGGCTGAGGCCGGTCCCTGGAGCTATTGGTGGGAGCGGGCCGAGGTGGGGGCCCAACCCCTCCGTGCTGCCTGGGGACCCCGCGCCCCTGGGGGCTGCTCACCTCCCGTAGCGACGCGGAGCACCAGCTGCAACGCGAAGCAAGTTAGCGCCAGGCGCGGCATCCTGCGTCCGGCTGGCCC